CTATATTGAGTAGGCTGTAAATAATGCCCGGTACGGCCCGCGCGGTAGCCTTCGGCTAGTACCGCCAGCTAGGATAAACCTGCCGACGGTGAATTCTTGTAACCTTGAATTTTCCGAGTACACTCGACGGAGAAAGTACTGCCGCAGTGTACAAGTGCAATTCTGACAGACTTGGACTCGGTCCCTATACGTGGCACTCATCGGACGGTGCCAGCCCCAGCCAGCGGAAAGTTCGGGACCCCGAAATGTACCTAGTTAAAGTGCGCTTTTTGACAACGGGATGGTCAATGTAGTGGCCCTCCCCATGAACTCCAACATTTTACATCTTCCTATTTGACTCACATTTGATACCGACCATGTCAAATATGATCGTAAATATCAGAAAATGGCGATTCTGCGGGTAAAAATCGCCGTGAGTACAGGCATACGCGACTCGGCGCGAAACTACCTATCGCGCACGGATTTTCCAACTTTTTGCCTCTAGACTCGCGGGTTCAGGTTGCTTGTGGGAACTTTTAGACGATTCTAGGGAGGCTTGACGTTGTTTGTGACAATGACGCACTTCATTTGTAGGGCGCTGACGTCCCGTTTAACTTGCTCCTGAGCCGTTCGTCAGATTTTGCATTTTGCAGATTCCCGCTGTAGTATTTTGAAGCTTTCAGAAACGTGTTTTCTAATGTTAGCTTATGCATTTGAGGATAGAGGCAGGAACAGCTGGTCTTCTTCTGCCGCACGACCACTTACATAGCATAGTGTATAGTATAGAAGCAATAGTCCCCTGTTTTGGTTTCTCATTATTTGACACCAAATCGCTATGCGGCCCTGACTACGCGGTAAGTTCTTGGTAAGTTTTCAAATTTTGCATTTAAATTGTGCATGTCAGCACAAACTTTCTCCTCCTCAGGTATACCTATTTAGTGGCACTTGTCAGCCGTTACCTGTTGGCACCTGTGACAAGAACCGTAACGATCTCGCTTGACATCAGACATGTAATCCATGGCGCATCGATCAGAGAGGCACCATTGGCACCTGACACCGGACAGGCACCAGGCACTGGTGAGAGAGGCACCAGGCACCATGCACCCGACACTTGGCACTGGTGAGAGAGGCACCCGGGGCACCATGCACCAGAGAGGCACCAAGGCACCAGGCACCAGGCAGAGAGGCACCAAGGCACCAGGCACCAGAGAGGCACCAAGGCACTAGGCACCTGGCACCAGGCAGCAGGCACTAGACACTGGTCAGAGAGGCACCTGGCACTAGGCACTGGTCGGAGAGGCACCAAGGCACCGAGGCTTCAGGCACCAGGCACCAGAGAGCCACAATCAGGTACTGGATTGTTTTCGTCCTTCGGAGCATTTCCTTCAACCGAAATTCGGTATCTCATGCTTGGTGGAGTTTGACCATAAGCCTGAGCACTGCGACATTCACACGGTCACCCCCAGATTTCTCTGACGCTTGTCAGCTTGTCAGCGAGCTCCCTTTTGGTTGGCGCCAATGAAAGTAGCAGAAGCAGACCATGGCAGACCCCAAAGTACTAAGGTGGACAGGGTTGCATCAGTGTGCGGAGGCATCATTGTGCTGAAGGTGGCTAATTGGCAGTAAGACAAGCACCTATTAAACTTAAAAGGCGCAATGGCTGCATTATGCTTTGAAGAACGAGTTAGACAAGCATGCGTCGATGATAGTGCTCAGTTGCAGAGCTCGTGCAAGTCAGGTGTTGGTCCGGTCATAGCGCAATTATTGGCACGGCCACTGGCATCGACACAAGTGTTATTCGAATGACTGTTTGCTGGTTCATAGTAATCACGGCACACCTCGCATTAATCTGACACTACACAGTTGCAAGACCAACGGCACATGTCACCAAGGCTCGATCATTGGCAACGGACTTTGACACATGCCTGGTGGCTTTTCGCAGGCTGCATCGAGGTCTCGATCCATACGGCCCGACGTCTGGCAACGTCTCAACTGCTTCTTCCGCGGCCCATTTCGTATGGTCCTCAGCCGAGAGCCCTATTGCTTGGTGCCTGTGCCAACTAAGACATTTCTCGATAACCCATAAATGATAGACGGATTAGAGTTGCAAGGCTCTCGAGCATTTTGACATGGATACGTCCACAAGCTACTCAGTGCACATGGCATGGCAGTTCATCAGTCGTTTACTCAGATCGAAGGCCTGACGAAGGTTTGTATGGTCTGCTTGAATATGTGTTGGTCCAAAGAATGATGGCAAAGGGCGGATATGGTTGTGTACATGTCGTACGTTACGTTCCATTAGTTCAAGCATGTCATACATGCATACCGAGTGAAATCGGGGACCCACGCTCTACTTGAACTATGTTGGTCCAAAGACTCATAACAATGGTCGGATATGTGTTGTTATTTTACTTAGTTCAAGCTTGACGGGTTAGGAAGGCTCTAATCAAGTATGTGCTGATTTGTTTAAGCCATGCTTAGAGAGGCAAGGTTTCTTGGACATCTTGACATGGATGCTTTGACGTTGAAGTCACATAGTGCACACATGGCGGTTTCA